ATAAATGATACTTACCAGCCTAACATAACAGCCTTCCCATCCACACATAAATGACTGCCCCTTGAAATGCTGAAATGTCACTTTGTTTTCATTTAGTGTTAGGTTGGCAGAAGTAGACAAGAGTTGATAGTAAGATGTAGCACAATTTCCTCTTACGTACAATATCTATTCAATTACCTCATGTGAATCAAATGTTTGAAAGCTGAGGGTCAGCTATGAGAAATTTTGAGTGGAGAAACAGGTGTGATTGGTCTGCTTCTCTTCTTTTTGCAATTTAGCAGTAGAAAATAAGAATGCAGAGAATGTGAGAAAACAGACCTGAGTTTGAAGGATGCGAAAGGACAGAATTGATGAGGAAAAGGGGAAGGTTGTGAGCTGCTTCCTTCCCCAGAAATCTGAAATGAAATCACTTCCATGTTCTGTAGCTTTTGCGAGAGTTGAGTGTGGCAGTAATAATTGCAGAGAGGAAGGAAGGGATATAAAATATGGAGAAATGTGTAGCGTGATCCCTGGACTCCACATCACCCTGGTTTTCTTGTGTCCTGTCTCTAGTTATAGTGTCAAACATAGAGTAAATATGGTCATGTGGAAGAAGATATTTAAACATATAAAATCCTGGTTAAAATTGCAGTTCCCAAATCAAAATAGGTCTCAGGGCAAACAACCCAATGTGCCATGAGAGTTGGATGTCAGATGACAATTTCTGGAACATTCATTTGCACCTGCAGGATGACCCAGGGATGAAGCACTGGATAACCACCTGTGAGGCCATAGGCAATAAAACCATCAGCTCCAGGGCTGAGAACCACAGGGTGAGCAGCCTGTTCCTTCTGTGCGAAGAAGCATTGGATCCCTGGAGAGCACAGAATTCCAAGTTTAAAGATCACCATCCACGATCCCCCATTCCTAGAACAGGAAAGTATAATTTGGATTTCAATACACTCTATTTCAAGCTTCAGCTTTAAATATTCCTAATGCGTCTTTTTACTGAATGAGTCAAAATGGATATTATAAGGAAGAATACTCAGGCATAATCACTTCGTTCATTTAAATCAGTACTGTACTGGAAATGCCAAATAAAATTAAATGAGAAGGGCACAGAGTAGTACAAGGGCATTTCTAACTACCTTATAGGAACCATGGAAGGCTGACCCTAACAGAAAATGACTGTTGGTAGATTAAGTTTCCAGAAGAACCTTCTGCTTTCATGAGTGGCTTTTGTTCAGGCTTGTATCACTGTGTCAGTTCTAGTGCTAGCATTACTACCATAAATTCCTAGACAGTAGTAGATTCCTGCATCCTCAGCCTGCACCCCGCTGATGGTGAGAGTGAATGATGTCCCAGAGCCACTGCCCTTGAACCTCGAGGGGACCCCAGAGGCTAAAGTGGATGCATCATAGATCAGGAGCTTTGGACGTTGCCCTGGTTTCTGCTGATACCAGGATAACCAATTGTTGCTGTATACACTCTGAGCTGACTGGCAATTGATGGTGGCTGTGCCTCCCACAGGTGCAGACACCACGGATGGACTCTGGGTTACTGTCTGGCCGGAACATCTGGCACCTGAGAAGAGAAACACAAATACAAACATCCACTCTCATCAGCATGTTCATACAGAGGAGACAGCAAGATTCAGTCAGCAATGAGCACAAGAGTGTAATCAATTCCCTCTGTTGTCCTTCCTCACCTAGGAGCCAGAGCAGCAGGAGGCCCAGGAGCTGAGCAGGTGCCCTCATGTCCATGCTGTGTCCTGAGTGGCACTGACTCCTGCACAGGCTGTGAGCACCTACTTATAAGTCTGCAAGGCACTGGACCGTGCCCTGGGGACATGCAAATCAGCAGGGAAGTGATATTGCTGTGCAGGGCAGAAGGTACCAGCTCATCTCATAGCTGAGCACAGGAGAACTCTCTTCAGACTTGAGGTCATGCCTTGGGCTGCACTAGTTTACCTGCAGATACCATGATTCTCTCTGACATGCATACTATGAGAAGCAAAGCATGTAAGGATCTGTTGACAAATTAATGATATCAAGGATAAGATGATGTCATCTATTTTTATTTCATGCCTTGATTCAATTTACAGTAGATTTAGTTACTGTTACAGTATGTGCAGTACCATTTTATACAGTAACTTCACCAACTCTTCAGTCTGACTTTAATACTTCCCAAACCTTTCTTATCACTTATACATTTTGGGGAGCCTGAAATTATATCATTTTTGCTACTTAGAAAACAGGAAATAATGGATTTTTTTATTTATTTAGGATCCGCCATATAATGACACTCAAACACTGTCAGACTCTGATTGCAAAGAAGCAATATACTGCAGATACATGCACTTTAATAGAGCACAGGGCTTTTATGCCCAGAGTAAATGGCCTCCCCTTTCCTGACTTGAGAGACTCTGCAATACATCTTTATGTCATTGGCTGTCATTTCCTAAACTTAATCAACATGAAACTTTGGCTACTGATGTGAAATGCCATGTTTGCAATGATGATGAGTGTTTGCATCCATCTGTAGGCACCTGGAAGAGGATCCACAAGACCCTTTAGATGAGTTCACACCCAGAACAATTCTCTGCAACAGACCAAGAAACCCCATATAGACTCTTCTGGTTAAATTATCTGAGCTGAAGTATCTACCACTGCGGCTCAGGCGACACACTCTGGATCTTGGGATGAGGAATGGGCTTTCCCATGGTCTAAGGCTTACATACATTTGGTGGGAGATGCAGAACAAAGTCCCCATGGTCACAACCTCTTATTCTGAATCTCTATAATGAAAGCATCAATAATTCACTTGAAAGTCTCATTTGCTCTGCACAGAAAGAGAACTTACACTTCCCAAACAGGAATTTTGAGATATTTCAGAAGCTTTGTGTTGTCACTATACAATCCTTATTGGTAGTACACGTTGGGACACTGTGATGACCTAGTCTTCAAGCTCCGTGGCTGTTCTACAGGAGAAAACGTCACCATCAGAGTAAATCCATTACACAGCATCTTATCCAGTTCAGCTCACAAGAACGAGAAAGCCTGGTAGCAACAGAAACCAGGACAGGCTCCTAAGCTACTCATCTACTCCTCAGCCACAAAAGCATCAGGGGTCCCTGACAGATTCAGTGGCTGCGTCTCTGGGACAAACTTCACTCGTCAGCAGCTTCCAGACTGAGCACATGGGAGATATTCCTGTGTGCAGCATGAGGGCAGTCCTCCCACAGGGATTCAGCCTCCAACACAAACTTCCTGCCCAGGGACACACAGGAGTCAACTACTAATATCCCAGCTGCTTCCTTCCTGCCCTGCTCTGTCTCTCTCATCACAGTGGAACACACTACATCTGCACACAATGGCGTTTGTACTGCTAACCAGAAGAGAAAGTGGGACAGCCAGCCTTGGATCCTGTGCATGAGAAAGTCAGCCTACAAAGACTGTGTAAGATTTGCCATGAGCCTTTCTCTGCTTCATTCTAAACTTGCATTTTCCTCACTGGTTCTCAATTGGGTGTAAGATGGGCTTATCCATCCAACCATGGACAGCCACACCTGCTTCTTAGGACAACTATTCAGAATGGAGCATCTGTCTCTCCGTTGTGCCTGCTGACACTAAATCTTCCCATTTCCTTCTGTGTCTGAGTCGCCTGGTCGTATCTCTCTTTCCCTCTGGGTGAATCATGAGATTTCCTGCTCAGCACTGCGTTTTCAATCACTTCTAATTTTCTAATGCCTCTGCCCTCAAATCAGACTCTTTTCTCTGAAGATTATCATGAATTCTTTGGCTGAGTGTATTATATTATACTGTAATATAATCTGGTTTATAAAAGAAAGGTGAAACTATGGCAGAAAGGAGGTGTGAGTAATGAGAAGATTGTAGGAGGGAGGCGAGAAAGGGACCAGAAGAACAGGACACATGTGGCATCGTGAGGACACATGATGAGGGACTTGGATCATCCACTCTGGAGCTGCCAAAAGGAGCACAGCCCTGCTGCCTCCTGAGTTTCATCCCAGAAAGGCCTCTGACCTCCTGAACTGGCATGACAATATCATGTAAATACTGATATCATAGACAGTACAATAGTTTAAAAATAACATTCTCAGCTAATACAATGACTGATCATATAATTATGCCCATCCGTGAAGAATGTTTTGGGCAATTTGATGTGGTTATGCAACAAGGTGGAGGAATCCACCATGGGGGGAGGGGTATGGGAGGGGTGGGGGGAATCCCCAGTGCCTATAAAACTGTATCACATAATACAATGTTAACAACAATTAAAAAAAATAATTATGCCCATCCCTAATTATTCACTGGACACTGAGAACTTCAAATATCACTATATTCTCATTTGTTGTCAGCTTGCCAGAATTAGATAATAATATATAATAAAGTTAGAGCAAAAATTCCTCCTAGGGGAAAAATTTCTTGAGTGAATTGTGGTAGTGACCTCTTGTGAACTCAGGTGTGTGAAAGCCTGGGGATCAGAAGAGTGTGAGTGGAGGAAGAGGTTCTGCTTTGTTTGCTTCTTGACTTCCATATTAAGAGGTGGACATAAGATTACAGAGAATGTGACATGACAGTGCTGAATCTTAACAATGAGAAAGGGACAGAGCAGATGAGGAAAGGGTCAGGGATGCAAGATACTCCTTCCCCATAAATCAGAAATGTAATCACCTGATGTCTGTGACAGCTTTGAGACAGCTGCATGGGACAGCCCAAATTGCGGAGAGGGTAGGATTAAAGACCTGGATCAACATCCAGACAAGCATGTCAGTGTGATCCGTGGATTTCACACTAACCTGGCTTTTGTGCCTGTCTTTACTTACAGCTTCAATGTGGAGTAAACAGGGCCATATGCACAATAATATTTTTCAATATATTTTTATTTTGAATTCTGAATTATGTGGTACAATTTTGTATAGGCTGGTATTCCCACCCCTGCCCAATCTCCAACCTCCTGGCAGATTTTCCCCATTTTACTACATTAGTGTAGTCCTTCAAAAGGAATCATAATTCTATTAGTCTCTTATTGAAGTGTACCCCAACATTGTTGCTTCAGTATTGTCCTGAGATAGCATAGCACTTCAAAAGTCAACATGGGTTTGGGGGCAAACAACCCAATGTACCTTGAGAATGGATGTCAGAAGACAAATTCTGATCATTCATCTGCACCTACAGGCTGACCGAGGGACGAAGGACTGCAGAACTCGCCTGGGAGGATATAGGCAGCTGTGAGCATCACATCCAGCCCTGAGAACCATAGCATCAGGAGCCAGTTCCTTAGTGGTGAAGGGGAATTGTATTCAAAGACAACACAGAATCAAACGTTTTAAGGATCACCATCTCTGATACACATTCCTAGATCAAATCAACATAACTTGGACTCCAATACACTCTATTTAAAATTTCAGCTTAAAATATCCATGATGCTTCCTTTTCCAGGGTGAATCAAAAGTTGTCTTGTAGCAAAGAGTACTCAAGCATAATCACTTCTTTCCTTTACATCAGTACTGTACTGGAAATGCCAAGTAAAAGGAAATGAGGGAGGCTACAGAGTAGTACAAGGGCATTTCTAACTACCTTATAGGAACCATAGAAGGCTGGCCCTAACAGAGAATGACTGTTGGTAAATTGTCTCCAGGAGAACCTAGGCCAGCTCAGGATCTCACTTCTGCTTTCATGGGAGGTTTTTGTTCAGGCTTGTATCACTGTGTAAGTGTAACTACCACTAGTATAATAACCTCCAGCACAGTAGTAGATTCCTGCATCCTCAGCCTGCACCCCGCTGATGGTGAGAGTGAATGATGTCCCAGAGCCACTGCCCTTGAACCTCGAGGGGACCCCAGACGCTAAAGTGGATGTACCCCAGATCAGGAGCTTTGGACGTTGCCCTGGTTTCTGCTGAAACCAGTTTAGATTATTGTTGTTGTAAACACTCTGACTTGACTGGCAATTGATGGTGGCTGTGCCTCCCACAGGTGCAGACACCACGGATGGACTCTGGGTTACTGTCTGGCCGGAACATCTGGCACCTGAGAAGAGAAACACAAACACAAACATCCACTCTTATCAGCATGTTCATACAGAGGAGACAGCAAGATTCAGTCAGCACTGAACACAAGAGCTGAGACAATTCCTGCTGTTGTCCTTCCTCACCTAAGAGCCAGAGCAGCAGGAGCCCCAGGAGCTGAGCAGGTGCCCTCATGTCCATGTTGTGTCCTGAGTGGCACTGACTGCTGCACAGGCTGTGAGCAGCCTGCTTATAAGTGTGCAGAGCATTGGGCTGTGCCCTGGGGATATGCAAATCAGTAGGGAAGTGATGTCATTGTGCAAAGAGAAGGTACCAGATCATCTCATAGCTGAGCACAGGAGAACCATCTGCAGTCTCTGAGCTGCACTCATTTACCTGAAGATACGATAATCCTCTCTGACACATACTATGAGAAGCAAAGCATGTAAGGATCTGTTGACAAATTAATGATACCAAGGATAAGATGATGTCATCTATTTTTATTTCATGCCTATTTTTCAATTTGCAGGAAAGTAACTTATTGTGGCAGAATGTATAGCATCATTCTATACAGTAACTCCATTAGTTCTCAGCTTGACTTCTAATTATTCCCATGATTTACTTATCATGTATACATATCTGGGAGTCTGAAATTATTTCATTTATGCTGCTTAGAAAAGATGAAAAGAGGGACTCATACATGTATATACAGGCTCCACGAGTTAGTAACCATCAAATATTGTGTTTCTCAATCCTCAGAATCAATATACTGCAAATTTACGCACCTTAATATATGACGGGGCTTTTTGCCATGAGACTAAGTGGCTTTTCCTTTCTTGACATGAGAGCCTCTGCAATACAATTTTATGTCATTGGCTGTCATTTTCTGAACTTCATCAGCATGAAATTTTGACTATTGATGTGAAATGCCATGTATGCATTGATCATCAATGTTTCCATGCATCTGTAGGAACCTTGGAATAGGCTCCACAAGACCCTTTGGATGAGTTTTTTATCTGCAGCACACAAAGAAACCCCATCTAAGTCTCCTGTTTAGAATCTGAGTGTAATATCTAACACTGGGGTTCATTGACCATGTCTGGATCCTGGTATGTGGAGACCAGGTTAGGAGGTAGTCCTGCAAAAAAAAACCCACTTATTAAAAAACTCCATCTTAGAGGAGGGCATCTGCTGCTGGGTGCCAGTCCACATTAGACACTGCAGTGTCCTCCTTCATCTCCTCTTTATCAGGACCAGCAGAGGATGGGAACACTCCCCTTCTCCCCACCCAACATGATCCACTTTTATTTTAAAGATTTATTTATTTTTATTACAAAGTCGGATATACAGAGAGGAGGAGAGACAGAGAGGAAGATCTTCTGTCCATTGAGTCATTCCCTAAGTGAGGGCAAGGTTGAAGATGGTGACTTTAGAAACTTGAAACTCTGCATTCTACATCAAGACACACAGCTCTACTCCAAAGAAGGAATGGGCTGCAGTTTCTATGTTTCCATTCTGCTGTAATATGCAAGATATTCTCCTGCTACTATGGAAGCCCAGAGCAAACAAAGCAGAACCCATTCTTCCACTCACACTCTTCTGATCCCTAGGCTTTCACACACGTGAAACATAATCCACTCATGGAGGTGTAAGTCTGGGCTGACTCAGCTGCTTTCCTGGGAGCGTTTTGTTCAGGCTAGGAACCTTGTAGGAGGTGTACTGCTACCCTGTTGACAGTAGGAAGAAGCAATATCTTCAGGCTGCACACTAGATGGCGATGATGTACTGTCCCACAACAATTGTTGCTTGAACCTCAATGGAACCTAAGATTCTCAACTGGATGCTCGAGGTATCAGCAGCTTCTGAGATTTCCTTCGTTTCTATGGATACCAAGCTAACCTATTGCTGCTAACATTTTGACTTTTAAAATTGATGGTAATTTACAGACATTAGCGATGGAGACTGCATAATTTGGTTAGCACATCTAGCAGCCAACATGGGAAACATAAACACAAACAACCTCTCTCATCATCATGTTACATAGGAGAAAGAAAATGGGTCAGGCTGGTCCAACAACACTGGCAGCTCCAGGTGTTGTCTGTCTTCATTTGGGAGCCAGAGCAGCAGAAGCCCCAGGAACAGTGACCCTCATGTCCAAGCTGTGTCCTGTCTTCAGGGTAGTGGGCTATGCCAGAGGGACATGCAAATCAGCACCAGTGCTCCACAGATCAATCCCCCCCTTCAGCCTGTCTTAACTGAGTGGCCTGACAGATGTGGAATGTCCCCAGGGAACCATCTGAGACCCAGTGGAACAGCCAAAGGAAAAGTATATAGGAAAACATGCATAGTATCACTGTGGGAATCTAAGTACTACTACCACTAGCAATATAAGCTCCTTGACAATAGTAGGTTCCTGCATCGTCAGCCTGCACTGGGTTGATGGTGAGAGTGAATGATGTCCCAGATCCACTGCCCTTGAACCTGTCAGGGACCCCAGACTCTAAAGTGGATGCATAATAGATCAGGAGCTTCAGAGGCTGCCCTGGTTTCTGTTGATACCAGGATAGAACATTGTTGAGGAAAACACTCTGACTTGACTGGCAATTGATGGTGACTGTGCCGCCCACAAGTGCAGACACCACAGATGAACTCTGAGTCAGCTGGGTGGCACATCTGGCACCTGAGAAGAGAAACACAAACACAAACATCCACTCTCATCATCATGTTCATATAGAAGACAGAGGAAGATTCAGACAGCACTGAACACAAGAGCTGAGTCAATTCCTGATGCTGTCTTTCCTCACCTGGGACCCAGGAGATGATTAGGGGCCCTTATGTCCATGCTGTGTCCTGAGAAATGTTGAAACAATTGACTCACCAACTTTTCTTGGATCCTGGACCCCTCTGTATCATAATCAAGTATGTAAACATCTTCAAAAATAATTTTTAAAAAAATCTGAAAGAAGAGAATGCTGTACCATCCATGTGCACCTAAAGGTACACCAGGAGGTACACGTGAGGACTAGGGATCACCTGTGAGTGCTGCAGGCCTAGAGAGCATCACCTCCAGGCTGAGAAGACAGCACTTCACAGCCTGTATCACCATCTTCAAACTACCACATTATGGGACATTAAAGTCAGTTGTGTGAATAAAATAAATTGTATGAAACCCCCTTTGTATCTACTGTGTTTTTCTCTGAATTAAAAAAAAAATCTGTAACATGGAGTACTCCGCTTAAAAATGTCTTTCCTTATGATCAGGGCAGAAATATTCATGTCTGTGCTAGAGGTGCCAGAGGAGAGTGACAGGGTCCCTTCAACACAGCTTCTGTGGCTTTCAAGCATGGCTGCACCAGAGGCTCACTCTCAGCATACAGAGACCCCAGGAGGAGCAGCTGATGCACCACAGACTCACACTTAAGCTCCCTGGCTGGTTTATGTTCAGGCCTGTGACTGAGGGAGGAACACTCTACCCCTGGAAACAGTAATAAGTGGCAGCATCTTTAGCCTGCACACCACTGATGGTGAGCATGAACTGTGTCCAAGAACCACTGATGCTGAACCCAGCTGGTACCCCAGGTGCTAAACCGGATGCATAATAGATCAGAGGCTGAGGAGAGGACCTAGGTTGCTGCTGATAATCTAGAGCTCTGCCAATGCTCTGACTCACCTGGAAATTGATGGTGACTGTGTGTCCAACAGCTGCAGAACCCAGAGATGGAGATTACATCATTTGGGTGGCAAATCATGTACATCATGTGGAAAACACAAACACAACCATCAGAACTGATCATCATCTCACTACAGAGATAACAGGAAGTGTCAGGTAGGTGCCATTTGGTAGCCAGACAGGTGAGCCCAGAATGGGGTCCAGGCATGTCTCAGGTCCCTTGGCCTGGGTCGTTTGTCCCAAGAGGGAAGTGGAACCCAGGGCAGTTAGCCCTGGAAGTGCCAACCATGGCTTGGATCACAAGGCCCAGGTGCCAACTGTACCAGCAAAGACCCACGGCAACCAAGCAACATGTTTTTGTGGGGTTGGTGGTGTGGGTCAGCAGGAACCAAGAGTGGTGGCACAAGTGGTGGCATGTTAAAACCTGGGTGCTCACATCCTGGTAGAATGGTCTCTGCAGGACTTGCATCAACAAGGCTAATGCTCTTTTAGATTTGAATCTCCTTAGTAGCTTAGTTGGAACAATGAATGGCATACCCAGATGGCACATGAGGATGTGGCAGTTCATTGTGGCCTGCAGAAGACATCTGATACTATAGCAGAGGATGGAGGAAAGATTGCCCAGGGAAGGGAGTAAAGGAATGTGTGTGGGGAGGTGGGGAGTTAGGAAGGACCACTGAGGGAGTATGTTGCAGCAGCGGAATGAATACTGAAAGACTTGCATCAGCAAGACCACTGCACTTGCAGGAAAGCATGGGTGCTGAGACTGAGCAGTTTGGAGCGGGCGATTGGAGCACTTTTAAAGATTTATTTTTATTATTTTTTCATTGGAAAGGCGGATATACAGAGAGGAGAGACAGAGAGGAAGATCTTCCGTCCGATGATTCACTCCCCAAGTGAGCGCAACGGGCCGATACTATGCCGATCCGAAGCCAGGAGGCTCTTCCGGGTCTCCCACGCGGGTGCAGGGTCCCAAAGCTTTGGGCCGTCCTCGACTGCTTTCCCGGGCCACAGGCAGGGAGCTGGAAGGGAAGTGGGGCTGCCGGGATTAGAACCAGCGCCCATATGGGATCCCAGGCGTGCTAGGCGAGGACCTTTAACCGCTTGCGCCACCGCGCCGGGCCCGATTGGAGCACTTTTAAAGGGTCAGACCTATGTACCAGTCCAGATGGTAGACCTGATTGGGGCTAGTTAGCAATGAGCACCACCATCTACCAATCAGTGATGCTCACTAAAGCTAGGGCTGGGGGCCTACAAACAGGGCTCATACACAGTGCCTGTCAGTGATTATCTGAACTGGGGAATTCTGTCCCACCCATGTGCATCTGAAGGCAGATCCATGGACAATAATGAGCACTGCAGGCAGCTGAGAGTATTGGCTCCAGAGCTGAGGACCACAGGGCTTTGCAGTCTGTTCCTTCCATGCAGAGGGCAGTCATTCTGGGAGAGTAAACAGTTACTGTTTCTACGATCACCATCTCTGGTATCCACATTCCTTGGATCTTAAAGGATATATGTTATCTCTGATGTAAGGCAACCTTCATACATAATACAAGATAAGC